GTGAGATTTGAACCGCTGAACTGCTGATCTAGCAGTAGCCTGCAGTGCTGCATTTAACCACTGCACCACCTTGGCTGGAGGAAATTTTATTTCAGAAGTGGAGTTCCTTCCTGTGTCATGAGAACATTATAGTTCCCAAAAGGAGAAATGGAGAAACATTTTCTTAAAATCAGAAAGTAGCCTCAGTCTTTCTGTGTAGTAAAACAGTCTCAAGCAGAAGAGACTGGTCTTTAGAAATGCAGATTTTGTATCCATTCAGAAAGGCTGGGCAATCCTATTTATGAACAAAACACTTTCAGCCACAGCTCTCCCAGGCTGGGATTAAGAATTTACATCCCTCACCCGAATTCTAAGAACATGACATGACCTCTTGGACATAACAGGATTAACCCACCAGTATTAGAATAGCAAAGGGCACAAGGCTCTCTACATTGCACAACCCCCTGGAGCATCTCAGAATCCTATAAAACCCATTCATTCCTAAAACAAGGGGCCAGCTACTGCAGAAAGATTTGCTGTTGTCACTGAAGCATCCAAATAAATAGAGTCCTTCTTTCCAATCAGCCTCCATTTTATTTCCAGCATCTTTTTCCTGGCTTGGAACCAGACCTGATTTTTCTTCCAACAATTGCAAAGATCTATGATTGGGAACCTGAAAATTCAGGGAATCCAAAAGGTAGATTAAAAAAAAGTTATGGCGCTAAAAAGCAGATTTAAAAAAACAGTGCTTAAGTAGAATTGTTTGAATTTTGTGCGGGTTAAATGAATGTTGCTTTTAAATCTTTCATTCTGGTGGTGCAGAAGCTGGCAGCTGGTCAAACTGACCCCAGGTTTCAAGATGAAAGGCAGTTTATTGGTAGTTTAAATTTTAGGGATGAACTTCATGTTCTTTATCCATTCCTTTATTCACAGCATGAATCAGCGTGTTGTGTTGCCCCAAAATTGCCTTTTCTTTTAGCTGCATCCAAGGAGAATTTCTGCCCCATCAGGTCCTTTCGATTTAAACACCTGCCTCTCCAAATGGGAAAATGTGGTTTCCTTGTGTGTGGCCTTATTTGGATGGAGCTTTTGTTAATTTCTTTTGTGAGAGCACATTGGGTTCTTTTTAAAGGTTTTCCTGAGAGGGTAAATTTGGCTCCTGCTGAGAGTAGTCGTAATTGCTCGATGCAGAATTTTAAAATGCAGCTTTTAAAATGGTTTAAATCTATTTTTCTCCCTTTATTTTTCAAGTGTAGCTAAGCTGCCCATCTAAATGCAGGTAAATCGCTAACGTCGGCTTTTACTAATTGTGGACTCGGCATAGGGGTGTTATCCATCAGGCCCAAAAACCAAGATGACATGTGGTGATTCTTCCAAGTTGAGTTCTGTATTGTTTCCTCACCTATAGAGAGAATCTTGACAGACTGGGGATTTTATTATCTGTGTCTACCATATTCTGTGGTAACAATTAGGGAGGGGCTGCCTTCACCCTCTCACATAAAATATCTGGACCAGTAATGGTATTCTATTTTCTTCACTATTGGTTCGGTAGCGGGAGCGTGTGTGTGTATGTGTGTGCAGAAGGCCCTTGATGATGTCTGGGTGGATGTGCAGAGCCTCGTGAAAGGAAAGGAATTCATTTCCTTTCTACACCTCATCAGAAATTGTATGGATTGTCTGCATTTACGTACTGCTGTTGTTGAAGATAAATTGTGGTTGATCAATCCTGGAAGTTTAAGTCCACACTGCTAATCATGGCCAGGGCTAAGAAACAGGAGTATAATAATGGAATACTGTAACAGACAGGTTATTCAATGTCAGGAAATCGTCTGTTACTCTGGTGATGGTGGTGGCTGATCTAAATTTGCTTTTTTGAAAATGGGTGTGGTTTTTTTGCTTACTCAAGACTGATACGATCTTCAGGCACCAAGAAGGAAGAGAAGCAATGCTTACCTCTCCAAGTGCAGGAGTTGTTTTCCTTGCAATTTCCTTCTAAATGTGCCCCTTCTTTAGAAGCAACGGAATGACAGTAGTGTATTGTTTCCATCCAACAACAATTATAGATATGCCGTCTATATAGGGCGTCGTGCCCTTTCCTTTCACTCACATTTAAATCTATAACGGTTGAGGATTAATGTTTTGGGAATAGAGTAATAAGGCAAAATAGTGAGGTTGTTTCATGCAGTTGGCTAAGGTTCTGGACGTCCTCCTCCCCTTCTCCTCCTCCTCCTTTCCACCTGTCTTGGGATTTATACTAAAGGTTTTGTGAATTTATTTCTTCAAAGTTATAATTTTCAGCAACTGTGTTGAAAAGAGATTCCATTTGTCTCTGCAGACCCTGTGTTTCTAATGCTAGAGGCCTGGTCATCTGTTGCTGGGAGAGCAGTTAGTTTGCCTCATCGCAATAGTGCACCAAGTCCCAACACTATACAATTTTGCTAAAGAAATGGTGGTTATTTACTATTGGGGAGAAAACAAAGGGTTGCATCCTATTGGCATGACAAAATAACTTGCTGTTGTTGCCAGATTATCTCACTTGCCGAAGACTATTGAGATGGATTCCACTTTGTGCCCTATGAAGTTATCTGGGAGCTTCTATCTTACAGCAAGCATCCAGCTATACTTGGTTGACCTCGGAAGAAAAGCAGGGTTGGAGCGAGTTAGAAATTAGATAGAGACCAGCAGGAAATTTCATAGCTGGAGCCTGGACTGGGACGTTTAAAAAGCCATCTAAGAAGACCATTTTATACTGTTGCCAATAAAATTACATGGGCTTGTCTAAGAAATCAGCAGGAGTCAAGCTTGAGGGAATCTTCATCTTTTACATGGATAAAGGTTAAAATCTAAGAACCACATGAAATGCTGCAGGCAGAAATTTGTCTTTTCTTGTGAAAGAGGCTTCCAGTTCTGTTTCACTGTCAGGATTGTTTAGAATTTCTTCAGAATTCATTTTTGATTTCAAGTGGTTGAGCTTATGTGTGCATAGTATGCAAAGAGTGCTGGGGGTCACCATCACTCTTCACACCTTTCCTCATTGCCTCTGCTTCTGATCTGGATAGGAGTTCTCTTCTAAGAGGGTTTAATGGAAGCAAGGGTTTATCTTCCATTCTGGGCAGATAGACAATTGGAATTATGAGAGGATGTTATGGACATTCGCGCCAAATGGCCGCCATTGCTGCCAAAGACAAGGTCATTATTGCAACCATCTCAACTCCTTTCCCAGATGCTCTATTTCATCCCATTGTTTATTTTCCTTTTACTTTTCCTGGACAGGTTGATAGCACTGAACAAGACAAGACTGGGCTGTATTCATTTTTATTTTTATTTGTTTATATTATTGATTTGGAATGGTTGATGCAGAATTAAAAAAACAGATTTATAAATCAAAAGAGTGATAAATGCAAAGGTGCTTTTTCAGGAGGCAACTGGACTTTCTTGCTTTTTCTTTTGAAGACATTTCATTTCTCATCCAAGAAGCTTCTTCAGCTGTGGATGAAAATTACTATCTGTCTGCAAGGAATATAAACCCTTCCATTCCCCACTATCCTGCCAGAAGAAGTTCTTCCATTTGCCTCCTGAAAAAGCACCTTTGGGACAACCATGACCTGGATGACTGAGAATCTCTACAGACTTTTAGTGAGAGATACACTTTTCAGCATAACAGATCTCGTTTCACTTATGCTTTAAACAAAATAATCTTTGAAAAACAATCCACATGGCAAAGGGAGACTGGCAGGAAATCTTTGAGTTGAAGTTCAACTTGTGAGCTGAAATGTGCGAAATTTCTGATTTTGCTAGTAAGAACAGGGCAACCTTCCACCATTGTAAAAATAATAGAAAGACTAGTATAATGTATAATGAAATAACTTGTTTCCAGAAGTTGTGAATGCTCCAACACTGGAAGTTTTAAAGAAGATGTTGGATAAGCATTTGTCTGAAGTGGTGTAGGGTTTCCTGCCTAAGCAGGGGGTTGTACTAGAAGGCCTCCAAGGTCCCTTCCAACTCTGTTATTCTATGATTCTATGTCACTGCAAATAATACAGAAGTAACTTTCAGCCCTGAGAGCAGTCTTGAGAGACTAGCTGGGAGCAAATGTGCGGTGAGATGTATAAGTTTGGCCCCAAGTGATTAACATACTATTCTGTACACATCATGTTTTCCTTTTGCAGCTTTTTGTATTGGGTTACACGGATGCTAAAGAAGCTACTGCCGATTTAACAGAGGACTAAAATATCAGGAAGAGTCTTGAAATATTGATGTGTTTGTTGAACAAAAACAGCTTGCTACTTCTGGGCAGCTTTCTTCACATTTCTCTGGAGGAGGCACAGCAGATGTGCGAGGGGAGGAAAAGAATATGTAATTGGAAAAATATACATTAGATTAAGCAATAATATCAGTAGTCACCTCTATTCAGGCACCATGCCGAGAGCTAGGCTGACTGACAAACTGCTGATAACATTTTTATTATTATTTCTTTGTTTATTCTATAGCCACAGACCATAAGGCAGACTCTCCAGAGGACACTACAACATTATGAGCATCAAGTTATTGGGTAAGTAGAAGCGATTTCTTCAAAACTCCAAAAGGAGTGTAGAGATAGATCAGTGAGTGGGTGGCAATAAAAAACTAATTACTGATTGCCAAGATATTGCCTTATGGTAGCTTTGCCAACCAAGTGCCCTTAAAATTGAATTAGGAGTAGGAATTCTGGCAGTTCAATCTTTAAAAACTCTGAATGAGTTTCTGATTGGAGAAAGCTATACATGAGCTATGTTCATACAATGTACTTAAGAATCTACTGGCTACTGCAAAACTTTCAAGCTTGATTGGTGATAACCTTGTTGAGTTTTTTTATTAGCCAAGGTGGCGCAGTGGTTAAATGCAGCACTGCAGGCTACTTCAGCTGACTGCAGTTCTGCAGTTCGGCTGTTCAAATCTCACCGGCTCGTGGTTGACTCAGCCTTCCATCCTTCCGAGGTGGGTAAAATGAGGACCCGGATTGTTGTTGGGGGCAATATGCTGACTCTGTAAACCGCTTAGAGAGGGCTGAAAGCCCTATGAAGCGGTATATAAGTCTAACTGCTATTTATTTTTTTGAGAGAGATGCAAATCCATCCAATTTAGTCAGTAGCTAAGATGCTGAGCTTGTCAATCAGAAAGGTCGGCAGTTCAGCGGTTCGAATCCCTAGCGCTGCGTAACGGAGTGAGCTCCCATTACTTGTCCTAGCATCTGCCAACTTAGCAGTTCGAAAGCATGTAAAAATTCAAGCAGAAGAATAGGAACCCCTTTGGTGGGAAGGTAACAGTGTTCCATGCACCTTCGGCATTTAGTCATGCCAGCTACATGACCACGGAGACGTCTTCGGACAGCGCTGATTCTTTGGCTTTGAAACGGAGATGAGTACCTTGATGCAATAAAACATCTTGATGCAAAAGTTTAAGGAGACTGCCCTTCTTTCTACCCCATCTTTCTTTTTGTTCTATTTTGTGCTCATTTGTAGTTCTTTTGTATGCCGAGGACTGTGCACTAAGAAGTCATGCCATCAGATTTGTGCCACTTAGGTTCAAAATATTTCAGGGGAGCTCATGCAAAAATGCCCTTTAACTTCTAAATTCTTTTGTGGATTGGATTTCATATATTGTTTTAATCTTCCCTTTCAATCTTACTGGAATTGTTGGACAGCGGTGGCTAGCAGAATAATGAAGGAAATAAAATGTCACATACATTTTCCTTTCTTGTTCCAGGCCACAAGCAATAGCAGGGAATAATATTCATGTTAAAGTAAGCTTTTTAAAAAATATCTTTCCTAAAACCTATTTACAATCTAGTTAGAGAAAATTATCACCTGCTCTATCTACTTCTTTTTACAGTAACTTGCCAGAATTCTTCAATAAATGAACAACCAAGAAAGTTGCAGCAATATATTCAATAATTATAACTCATTCAATCGATACCTTATCATAAGGTATCCATTTAAAGCAGGCTGCCCAAACTTTTCAGCTGATTGATTCCTTAATGAAGTTTCAGATTATTCAAACATCTTTTATATGAAAGCAATTTTATAAAAACTACTTTAACTAATATTACTATGAATAGCAATAATGATAATATCAACCCTTGGATAGTCTCATTGAGTCATAAGGATCAATATTAACCACTTCGGAGAACTCTGATTTAATTAAATGTAAATACCAATCACTTCTTTAACAATAACCAAGATCAATAATAAATTGGCAAGAAGTTGGATTACCTTAGAAATCTCTATTATTATATCTCACATCTCTATCACAGAGATCACTGTGACAACATCCTGTGATTTCATCCAGCATTCTTTTGAGTCTGTGGCATCTGAAGAGGTAGACAGGGTAGTTCAAGACAAGTATCAGAGGTTGATATTGATGTTGACCTCTCTTGACAGGAGAGAACAGATATTTGGATTCAAGGGATGGGGAATGCTTCTTTAGGGAAGGAAGTTGCACTCAATGTCTTGAAGGGTGTCAGTATATTAATGACTGGCAGAGACATGGTAACAAGGTCAACCAATGAATAGGACTTAATAACAAGGTGAGCCATTGGGAGATGAAATAGTTTGGAGTCTGGGTGTGGCTTAGCTCTGAACTGAAACCGAAAGAAACTCATTCTCTGTATAGCCTGCCTGTGTTTGAACCTGCTTACAATGTTTCTTCGCTACCATGTTGGAAGAATCTACTGTTGGTATTATACATTTATTCATGTGTTATTATGTATATAAATAGATTAATGAATCCTGCTGAATCAGTTATCTGTGTGTGCTTTCTGGATGTGATTTCTGCAACAAACTCTGACAAAGGGTATGTGATTCCTCTGAAGAAATCCTCCATTAGAAGGTTCTACAAACGTCTACCTCATCTCTAACCTTCTGGTCTATAGGAGGGTTGTTGAGAAAGTGGTTGGGTTTGTCTGTAGAAGAACTTGGAAGATGCAGTTTAATTGGAATTCTTCCAGTTGAGTTCTAAGCTTCAATCTGCGATCAAGACTCCATTAGTTGCTTTGTAGATAAGCTGCAGTCTCTAGCAGGAGTGGAGTACATCTAGCAAGCAATGTTCCCTCTAATTTTTTTTCCAGTGTGTTTGAGTGGCACATTTTCATGCCTGAGCACCTGAATTTTTTTAGCCATAATTGCCATCTGAGCAGATGTTGGGGAGGGGTGGAAAAGGGTCCCCTCATTCTCCCTCAGACCCCCCCAGGAAGGAAGGAAGGGGAGGGGGAAAGGAAATGGGAAAGAAGAAAAGGAAAAGGAAAGGAAAAGAGAAAGGAAAAGAGAAAGGAAAGGAAATGGGAAAGAAGGAAAAGAAAAGGAAAGAAAAAGAGAAAGGAAAGGAAAAGGGAAAGAAGAAAGGAAAGAAAAAGAGAAAGAAAAGGAAATGGAAAAGAAAGAAAGGAAAAAGGAAAGGAAATGAGAAAGAAGAAAGGAAAGGAAAAGAGAAAGGAAAGGAAAAGGGCAAGGAAATGGAAAAGATGGAAAGGAAAAAGGAAAGTAAAGAAGAAAGGAAAGGAAATGGAAAAGAACGAAAGGAAAGGAAAAGAGAAAGGAAAGGAAAAAGTTTTACAAGCCTAGCATGGTAGGCTTGGCATGGTAGTTAAAGCATGGCATGGTAGTTAAAGTGTTGGGTTACGACTGGGGACACCCTTGTTCAAATCCCCTTTGCACTAGAAACTCATTGATCGACTTTCAAGCAAAGCCATAAAAGATTGTTCAGTCACACCAATATTTAGATTCAACTGAGTAACAGGCAGCTTCCATATATAATACGATCAAGCAACAGCTGCTTCATAAAACTACTTGGCACAATCCCATTGTGTCTATTTTTGTTTTCCCTAGTCTGCATTGACTGCCTATTATTTGTCACCATTCCTTTCCCCAACCGAAGATACTCATAATACTCAGAGCTCGCCAAATTACTTTGCCACACGAGGCAGAAAATGTCAGAGTACCAACCACCATATCCTGCAGTATACTCACCATAACTATAAATCCTTGTTTGGAAAGATGGCCAAATGCCTGCAGACGGAGGTGATGATTTTACTGCTTAATAGTAGAATTGGATCCAACAGCTTCTGCTGGCTCTCACTGCAATTTTGTATGGATGAGATACCTGCCAGAGTTATATTGATTAAGCAGGGGAGCTGTATTGATCAAACAATTGAGCAATCAAGCAATACTTGTGGTTTCCAATTATGTAAGTGCCCTTGATCCCTTGGCATTCTCTTCGGGTTACTGTAGGTTGGAAGCATGTGTTAAAATTCAGCACAGGCTTCTGAGGTTTCCCAAGTTTTAGGTATTTATCCTTCTGGGCTTTTTAGTCAAGCTATCTTTTCAACTCTCCTCAGTTAACAATTCAGACACGTCAGGAAAGTACCTCAGGCTAGAATAGTAGACGAAGCTGCTGTTTAGGGAATCACCTTTGCAAACTTGCTCGTATACTTTGATGGCAAGTATAGAACAGATAGGGAAGAATAAGAGATAGAAACTTGCAGCAAAGAGTCCATTCTTCTTTTGAAGTTCACATTCCTAGACCTCAAGGGTTAAGATGATTTATGTGTGTCTATTCCCCGTTTGGTTTTGTTTCTCCTCCTTTATTTTCTTCAGAATATCAATGTAGGTTATAAACTTCCCTGTTAGATAACCTGCAAGCAAGTACTTGGAAACCACAAAGCTTTTTTCTGTTTTAGGAAGGAGAGATAACGTTACACAATCTGTGCACAAATATGGATCTGCAGATTCCGCTTTCTTGCTTGTCGCATCTGATTGCTGGTCCATTTCCATAAAAAAGATGGAACTATTAGATCAGTCTTTCTCAGCCTTTGCAGCTTGATGTTATGTGGACTTCAACACTCAGAACTCTAGGAGTTTGATGTTCACATATCTTCAAGTTGCCAAGGTTGATAAACTCTGTATTTCAGGGGTGGGCTGCTGGAGGTTCGCAGGGATTTGGGAGAAACTCTAGCTAAGATTTTGTGAAGTTTAGAGAACCCCCAAATTCCACTCCTGGCTGGCCCTGCCACCTCTGCCTCTCCCCTCCCAGGAGTCCTCACGTGGCCCGTTTTGAATGCAGGTAAAAGTATGGTGTGCACAGAGGCTCAGGGAAGGCAACAAACAGGCCTACAGAAGTTCGGGAAGGCCGAAAACTGGCCCGTTTCCACCTCCGGAGGGGCCTCTGGAGCCCCAAGGCTCAAGGAAAGCCTCTGGAGCCTGGGGAGGGCAAAATGCCCCTCTCATCCTCCGTGATGCAGGAGCCTGACTAGGCCACACCCACCATGGCCACGCCCACCCAGCAACCAGGCAGAAAACCCCTTGCTAAAATTTTTGAAGCCCACCCCTGATTAGATTATATGTTTTCAAAAAGAATGATCATTCTTCCTCAGATTGCTTCAAATGTTTATCTGTTTCACTTAGGTGCTTTCAGATGGTCTTTGTTTTGCTATCATACACCACCGATTATATGTTTCTTTCTAGTTACAGAGATGCTGAAAAGAATTTCCATAATATTTCCAACCGATGCTCCTATGCAGACCATTCTGGCAATGATGAAACTGAAGATGTCTCAGGAATTCTCCAGCGTACAGCAAATATTCTTGGTACTATAATTATTATTTCCCATAGCCCTTATGAATTTCACTTCTTTTACTTACAGCGGTCTATTCTGCACTCTTTGACTTTTGCTTGGAAATATCTGGGTAGCTAAGCAGAAGATTGTTCCCATTCAGATTAAGCAATTTAAATGTAGGAATTCTGACATGCAAGCTGAATAAATTTGGGTTGGATAGTATTGCAATTAAGTGGCTACATAGCTGACTCAGAGATTGTACTTAATTCTCAACAAGTCCTCTTCAGAGAAAGTTAAAGACTATCAATTGTGTGCTTGGTACACTTCATTTTAATGATGATTTGCATGAGGAGGTGGAGAGAAATAATAAATTTGCAGATGACTCAAAAGTGTATAGCACAGATGAAAAGGATTCTGGATTGGTAAAGAATGACAAATAGAACACTAATTTCCTATATACTACCCACAGTCTCTTCAAAATGAGATGGGCGGTGTATAAATTTAATAAATAAACAGTAAACATACAAACAAATAAATAACTTTTGGTATGACATGCCTGCAAAAAAAAATCCAAGAAAATGGAATTTTAGGCTATATTAATAAAAGCATAGTTTCTAAAAATTCTGAATTCTCAGATGTGTTTTAAATACTATGCTTATTTCTTGGCATTTCTATCACTATGTTTACTGATAGAAACTCCTTGAAATAACTAGAAGCTAAATGGTACAAAAAGATGTTAGACTTAGGAATAATTGTTTTTGTTTATTTATCAATTACATTTTGATCCATCCCTTTCAAAGTTGACTGGGAGGGGAACTGATGCAATTCTTAAATCAGTAGAATTCCGTAACCAGCTTGTCAGGGTTCCAAATAGCATCCAAAAGTAAATCAGAGTCCAAGGCAAAGTATTGCTCAAAGTTCCAATTTATTAAGAGAGCCATGTTGACACATCTGGGAAAATCCGAATCTGAAAGCTTCCTGGTTTTCCCCACCCAGTTGAAAGTTCAAGATCTTGCGCCCACACCCACAAGTCCATCACATGGTCCAATCTTCCACTGCCATGCTGGCAATTCCACCCATCCAGTTCTGGTCAGATGCAGAGGTGCCGAGACAAAGGATGACCTTGGCTTTCTAGAAAGAATTTTGTTATGGCTACATAGCATCTCACTTGTGCAATCCCCCCTCCCATTTTACCACAATAGAAAATGCATAGTAGAATAATAGAAAGTGTGGCAGGGCAAAGACCCAAAAGAAAAGATGGCTTCAGGCCTGACACAGTTCTTTATGTGCTTGAATTCAGGAAGTAAACATTTATTTTGAGTTCATAGGCAGATACATTCTTTTTGAATTGTCATAAAAGATTCAACATGATAATAGCTGTTGAGAGTGAAATGTATAAAGGAGGTGGTGAGAACTTTGCTTGAATGTGTTCAAGCAAAGATAAGGCAGCTTAATAGGATTATGTCCTATTAAGATGATTCTTCTAGTGATTAGTGGTAGTAAACTGATCTTCATTCTAATTTAACTGAGACTATGCAGTTGGTCTAAATCAGGAGTGTCAAACTCACATCATCATGTTGTCGTCACATGACGTATCATGACTTTCCCCCCATCACTAAAATGGGTGGGCATGGCCATCTTATGAAGAATCTGGCTTGCAGACCATGAGTTTGAAATCCCTGCTCTAAATACTCAAAGATCATGTAGAAAATAAAATCTTTTTTTTAAAAAAAATCAGACTTTTGTCACCTTTCAATCCTTACAGTAGGCATTTCTCTTTTGTGTTTCAGCTTAAGAGGGAAGAGCCTTACCTGTCATGCTCTCTTAAGCCCTTACTTTTTCATAGTAATTGAACCTCTTCCAATAATCCTTTTCCCTCCCAAATGGCTTATTCTTCTGCCTTAGATTTCCTGTATTAGTATGAATGATGTTTCCTTCAGACTTGCTTCCATATAAATTGCCAAATGCATGCTGAATGATTTTTTTATGACAATAAGAGCGATGCCACTGGAGCTTCACAAATGCTAATACTTTTGAAAGTCTTGATTTAAGTTTTCTTGATTGTTCAGGTCATGCTTTCCTAGAAATCTACAAGTCACTAGATCATCAACAAATAAATTGCTTTGTATTTTGTATACTTCATATTGTTTTGAAAGCTGTCTAAAGAAATTCTCACTGTTTGCAAATATCCTAGGAGCTTATTTGCCTCCTGCATTTACATTTTTAAGTGAGTACATTTTTGATCAAATAAGCTTTTTCCCTCCAGTAATATTGCAAAGGAAATTGAATATTTCAGTGATCAACTTAGTTTATTAAACCTCAGGAGTTTTACAATCCCTGCTGTAAATCTGTGCATATGTGGGTAGAACTTTGATGTGTGAATAATTCCAAATTTTGCTGAAAAAAGATTAGATTAGGTGCCTCTGTGTGGTGATATTGGATAAATCTTCCAATACACACACACACACACACACACACACACACACACACACACACACCTCTGGCAAACTTTTATCTTACTAATGCTCACTATGGAATGGTAAACTCTAATATGCAGGTTTTGAAATGCAGTTTAAAAGAAGCTATTTAGTATGTTAAATAGTAAAATTAATAAACATTATGCTATTACCACTGGCCTGGTAAACATATAAAACATTTTGTTTGCAAAGGGTAGCTTGTAATTCAGGAACTGACCTCATAAAGTTCAATGTTGTTAACTATGGTTTAATTTCATGTAGTGGCCAACATAAATTATGTTGACAAACACTAGATTGCTCTGTTAATGTGATGTTAATATTAATAATAACACAATTTAGGCTGTTCAGCCATAGTCTAAATTATGCACTGAAATATTTTTATTGGAATACTTGTACATGGAAAATCAATGGCTTATGTTTTGCAGCATTATTTTGATGGTGAGAAAAATGTTTGCATTTCCCATTTTGAACATCCGGAGAACTATACATTTGGATTGTGTGTTTTCCAGTACTGTTAAGGTACTGGAAAACAGTACTCTAAGGACTTTAATCTGCAACAGCCAAATGCAACTAATACTAGCTTTATTCATTATATTAATAACTAATTTGTCTCAATGTTGATTTCTGCTTCCTGTTATTGAATATATCAGAGATAAGGTCTTTTTAAGATGCTGTACGTACGTGATTGCTATTCACTTTTCACTATTTCCTACTTCAAAAGCCATCTCTCACAATAACTGCTTGCTTACCCCATTTTATTCATTCTGTGAATAAAGCTGGGGCCATCTAAACACAGCCGTTTGGGGCCTACAAGTTCTGTAATACGTCTAGGTACTGACTCATTTTAAATGTCCCATTCTTTGATAAATTTTTATACAGTTAGAGCAGGGATTTCAAACTCAAGGCCTGGGGGCTGTATTCGGCCCATGGGGTGCTTAGATCTAGCCCATGGAGTTGTCCTGGAAACAGTAAAAGACTGACCTGCAGTGCCTCTGCCATCAAAAATAGAGCTCAAGGAGGGCCACGTGCAGCCCACCTGATCTCCCTTTGCGCTGGCAGTAGGGTTGCAGGAGGCTGTTGCAGCTGAAAACAGAGCTCAGGAATTTGCTGACAGAGTGCTTGGGCCAGCACAGCCTCCACCCTTGATATGAGCAACGTCAAGCTGACCATGCCCACCCTGGCCACACCTACCCTGTCCCCCCAGCCCTCAATGAAATCGAATTTGACACCCCTGAGTAGACTCTCCTCCCAAAGATCTATCACAGGAATGGCAAACCTTTTTCGCCTTGGCTGCCAAAGCGCGCGTGCGCTCACATGCCCACCCCCATAATTTAATGTCCACCCCACGCCATGCCCCTGTGCATGCATATGTGACTCTCCCTCGCTGCCCCATGCATGTGTGCATGGCTTTCTTGGAGCCTGGGGAGGGTGAAAATGGTCTCTCCCACCCCCTCCGGAGCCTGGAAATGGCCCATTTTCCAAATTCCGCTGTACCCGGTAGGTCCATTTTTCAACCCCCACAGGCTCCAGAGGCTTTCTAGGAGCCTGGGGAGGGCAAAAATGGCCTCACCTCCACCGGAGGGCCTCTGGAGGCTGGAAATGGTCTGTTTCCCACCTTCTGGTGGGCCCAGTAGGTCTGTTTTTGCCCTCCCCAGGCTACAAAGGCTTTCTAGGAGCCTGGGGAGGGCGAAAAATGGCCCAACACACAAACCAGAAGTTTGGAAACAGACTTCTGGGTTGCCCGTTTGGCTGTTTTTCTCCCTCCAGAGGCTTCAGGAGACTTTCCTGAAGTCTCCGGAAGGTGAAAAACAGCCCAACACACAACCCGGAAGTCAGTTCCCAAATTTTCGGTTTGGACGTTGGGCGGTGTTTTGGCCTTCGGAGGGTTCAGGGAAGCCTTCAGAGGGCAAAAAATGGTAAAAAACAAAGGCCAAAAATCAGCTGGCCAGCACACACATGCGTGCTGGAGCTGACCGGGCAACGCCTGTCAGAAATGGCTCCGAATGCCATCGGTTTGCCATCACGGGTCTATCACTAGCTTACCAGATTGATGCCTCTTCCCAAACATTTGCCTCTCCTAGGATCATTGATGTTGTGATTTCACACTGACTTATGCCTATTCCAGGTTTAAAGTTTGAGGAGCTACAAGAGAAATTCGGGGCCGAATTCTTCAACATCTGCTTCAGTGAGAATGAGAGAGTTCTTCGAGCTGTGGGCAGCACCTTGCAAGATTTTTTTAATGGCTTCGATGCTTTGCTGGAGCACATAAGGACTTCGTTTGGGAGGCAGGTCACTTCAGAATCTCCTTCTTTCCTATGCAAAGAGCTCCCTGAAGGCAAACTTATGCTTCACTACTTCCATCCCCATCAGATTGTTGGGTTTGCCATGATGGGTATGGTGAAGGCAGCAGCAAGGAAGATCTACCAACTGGACGTTGAAGTGGAACAGATAGTAAATGATAAGCTATGTTCTGAGGACCTAAACCCAGGCAACTGCAGCTGTCTCACTTTTATTATCAAAGAGCGTGAAAACGCAAAGATCACAAAAGCGCTTCCTCTGGGGACATCTCAATCCCCCTCAGATCTGAGGATAAGCATTAACACCTTCTGCCGTGCTTTTCCTTTCCATCTGATGTTTGATCCCAGCATGTTGGTCCTGCAGCTGGGTGAAGGACTGAGGAAGCAGCTGAAGTGTGAGGTTCATAAGACGTTGAAGTTCCAGGACTGCTTTGAAATTGTTTCCCCTAAGATTGCAGCCGTGTTTGAACGTGTCCTCGTGAGACTGTCCACCCCTTTCGTGATCCGAACCAAACTTGAAGCCTCTGCCTCTGAAAATAAAGACAAGGTAAGAATGCTGTTTTCTCCTTGGAGGAACGCCGTTTTGGTAATTCACAGAAATGTCTAGCAGTTTTAAAAATGATAACGGTGGGAGTAAGAGCTACTGCTAAGATGCAGGATGAACGGAGTCTGGTCACAAAGCAGAAGGTAAAGTGTGAACAGATGTCTTCGTGCTGTCTTCTGAGTGCAACATTCACAGATTTGCACATAGCAATAGCACTTAGACGTATTGTCCCATTGTGCTTTAAAGCACCCTCTGGGCAGGTTACAATATCAGCATATTTCCCCCAACAATCTGGGTTCTCATTTTACTGACCTCAGAAGGATGGAGGGCTGAGTCAACCTTGAGTCCCATCAGGATCGAACTCCAGGCTGTGGACAGAGTTTTTGCCTGCAATACTCTAGGGCACATCTCATGACTTAGAAAAATAAGAATCCAAGATATCTCTATATTTTATTGTAAGCTATAAACAGAAAAAATAAGAATCCAAGATATCTCTATATTTTATTTAAGCTATAAACAGGAAGTATAGACTTGGACATGTACTGAACTTTTTCCTGCTTTCAAGACTGCTCATGCAACCATTGATCCAACCTGATTTTTACCTCTCTCAAGCTTGTTTTAGATAGCAATAGCAATTAGACTTATATACCACTTTACAGACCTCTCTAAGCAGTTTGCAGAGTCAGCATATTGCCCCCCCTCCCAATAATTTGGGTCCTCCTTTTACCCACCTTGGAAGGATGGAAGGCTGAGTGAACCTTGACCCTGGTAAGATTCGAACTGCCAAACTGGAGGCAGCCGGCAGTCAGCAGAAATAGCCTGCAGTACTGCACTCTAACCACTGTGCCACCGTGGCTCATAAATATTAAGCCCAATGTGTGGGTCTATTTTATGGTTTTTTGTATGTGCAGTTTGATTCTTCATTGCTAGATATTAGATCTTGAAATCCTAATGTGTGTGGTCCTAAGGTTGTTTCATCTAGCCTCCAACTGATCAGCTATTGTGAGAGTGTCAGACCTGAATAAAAAAGTGATTCTTTCCAATCATGCATCTCCTAAAATTCTCTTTAGCAAGCTTTTATTTAGATGAAAGCATTATTGATATAAGAATTACGGCAGGTGAGTTATTGTCAATTTAGAATCAGTATCTCTCTGTGCGCATAAGACTTTCTAATTACAGTATTCTTTTTCTCCTAGCTTTACAGGGGAGTCTACAACTGTAAATTCTTTACCCATAATTGCTTGTTATCAGGCCAAGGAAGAACTCTTATCAATGAATAGCATGATCAGATAGATTAAAAGCTGCTGAAACATGCAGAAAACCAATAAGGCTGAATTTCCTCTCTTCTCCTTTCAGCATGATCAAATACTTTTGTTGCTAAAACCAGGGTAAGGACCAGGAATAGATTTCCCATATTCAGTGGGAGAGACAGGTCAAAAAAAAAACAAAAAAAAACATAGCAACTGAGGTGTCAAAGCGGGCAAGAGACTATGGGTAGTTGAGCTTGTTTCTTTTTTTATTGTTGATTTGACTTGTCCATCCTCCAACTTTGACTTGCCCCACCCCAAACTTTAAAAGCATAGCAATTAAAGTATAAAGCAGGAAAGTGATGATTGGAAGGATGATTTCTTTTCCTGGTTGCTGTTTTTGAATTGTTTCCCCCCCCTCTCCTTCTCTATGCTTTTTTCTTTCTCTTTTTGTAGGCAGGTGACGTGATTAGAAGTTAGACAGGAAAGAAGGGAAAAGCTCTTTACAGGGTAATATGATTAAAAGCTAGACTAAGTGATAGAAATAAAGGGAATATTAATGTACTATATTTTTATTTGATAAAATGAAAGTAATCATGAGAAACAGGTAGAATAATTGAATAATGAAAGATTGTAACCTAATAATAGATGTATATTGTTATGGGAATTATATAAGTTGATTGAATGTAATAATAATATTTAATCTGATCAGTTTTGTTTGCATTGGAACGTATGGTGCTCAGGTGCTACACTGCTCACGCATTGGTTTGACATTTTTAGGAAAAATAAATAAATGAAAGATTTCCCATATTCAGAATCTGACTTAATGGGGATCCAAGCTAAACATTTCCTTTTTCGGGGGGGGGGGGGATAGAAAAACCTCCAGAAGGAAGAAGGCTAACTCTAGCTGCAAGAAGGGACAATAATTGTTTTGCAGCAAAATAAAGAATCTACCTGTTATTCCACTGTGATATTTATAATTTTTTTTTTAAAAAAATCTTTCTTTAGATATATGTTTTCCAACTAGGTCAGGCTACAGGCCCAGAACCTCAGGGTTTTATTCGTTTTGTTTCTTCATCCTTTTGCAGAAGGCTTCTTTCTATTTTACTAGCAAGACCAGATTAGGGCATAAGAAAACAGGGATATTCTGTTATGCCTGCTGGGATATTCTGTCAGTGATCCCTGCTTTCTAATGGGGATGTTTGGAGGAGTATCATCTCCCCACTTAATTCCCTCTCCTCTCCCTCTCCTTCATTCTGTCTGTATAATCATATTGCCTCCCAATACTTGAAATAGGAACAAAACTTTTTTATTGACTTTACTACGCTCAAAAGGTTTTTTTTTTAATCAGGTTTTTTTTGGAGGGGGGGGGTAATGGGAAAGCAACAAGTGTGACCCTACCAAGCGTGGGCTGCTGGGGGTTTGCACAGGTTCGGGCAATCCTCTAGCGAAGATTCTATGCGGTTTGGCAAACCCCCAAATCCCACTGCTGGCTGGCCCCTTAGGAGTCTCCACGCGACTTGTTCATCATGCCAGGTAAGCGCAGGGCCCGTGTGGAGGCTCGGGAAGGGGGGAAAACAGGCCTACTAGAAATTCTGGAAGTCCTGAAATGGGCCTGTTTCCAGCCCCTGGAGGGCCTCTGGAGCCCAGGGGAGTTTTTGCCCTCCCAGAGGCTTGAGGAAAGCCTCCAGAGCCTGGGGAGGGAGAAAAACGTCCCCCCTGCCATGGTACAGGAGGCCGACCAGGCCACGCCCACCATGGCCACGCCCACCCAGCAATGGGGCAGCGAACCCATTGCTGCAATTTTTGAAGCCCCCCCCAGACCCTACCAAGTATTTTTTAAATACTTCAGTTAATTTTTATTGATGGTTTTTTCTTTGTCTTTACTTAATTTCCTTTTAAAATTCAGCTAGAATTGTTAAGGAGGGGAGTAAAAAATTAACATTCTGCTTCTTTTGTGATAACAGTCTCACAAGGTTGAAAAAGCCCAAACAGAATCACATTTTTTTCCCCATGTTTGTTCCATTCTTCTGTTAGTATTCCTCACGTTTGCTTGTCAGAATGTGTTAGGCTCTAATGATTTTTAAAATGAATTACATTGCTAATTTGACAGCTGGCAGTGGTTGTGAATGGAATAATGTAAAACAATAGATGACAATGTAGCTTTAAAAATAGATTCTCTACCACGCTAATAGCTATGCTCCACTAAAGTTTAAAACTTTTTAGATAGCCGTATAACTTTTTTAATTTAGGGATGTGCCGAAGCCTAATTTTAAAGATTATTTTTTTGTCCTAATGAAATCTTGTAATGAAAAATTTTTTAAATGGTTTGCAGAGTCTTTTTTTTTTAACCTGGATGCCCTTGAGATAGACAGCCTATTTTTCAGCAATTTCCGGGAATTTGGATGGCACACAAGGTGTGTTTATCCTAATGTGAGATATTTATTCTCCATGCAGAGTGTAGATTGACATTGTTTGGTTAATATAGTTGTGCCATCATATCAACAGGATTTCTCCAGGTTTTTTTTTATACTGGCTATTATTCAACATCAAATTGTTGCATCTCCTTTCCATTGTATGTATTTGGAAACATCAGTTACTGTAAATACCTAGTGAATAGAAAACATATTTTGGGGATTAGATCCATACTTACACTGTTTTAAAAATCACCTGATACCTATAAGAAAGGATATGAATAAGGTGCTTATAAAGATAAAAATAATAAGGGATCTGGTGGCTCAGTGGGTAAGACACTGAGCTTGTCGATCAGAAAGATTGGCAGTTCGGTGGTTTGAATTCCTAGCACCGCAAAAAAAAGAGTGAGCTCCCATTTCTTATCCCAGCTTCTGCCAACCTAGCAGTTTGAAAGCATGTAAAAAATGCAAGTAGAAAAATAGGGAGCACCTTTGGTGGGAAGGTAACAGCGCTCCATGACCTTCAGCATTTAGTCATGCCGATGACAAGACCATGGAGATGTCTTCGGACAGCGCTGGCTCTTTGGCTTTGAAATGGAGATAGATAAGCATTTCCCTCTAGAGTCGGGAGCGACTAGGACATATGTGCAAGAGGAAAACCTTACCTTACCTTTACCTTAAAGATTAAAATAACATTTATTGAAAAGACCAGTCATGTGGTGACTACGGAAGAATTGAGTACTGAAATTAGAAAACCAAAATCAAGATCATATTTAATGCCAGGTGGAAGAACACATTGGAGGCCAAGATAAACAAAATAAGATCAGTTGCAAGTAATTTAAAAAACACGAAAGAGCAAAAACTGAAGAATGCAAGGATCAGGACATGCCTAATAAAAAGAGATTGGCTTGGCACCAGAAAAAATAAAAGTGATTTGGAAATCATAAACCAACAAGTACAAGCAACAATTGGGAAAATCGAATGCTATGAGACATGAATCATCCCATTTAAGAAACATCAGCTATTATATTGGGAATAGAGGCAATTCTACCAAAAGGTAAAAGAAATTCTGAAAATTGAATATCAGACAAAAAGGGAACAATCCAGTTTTGGAAAGATCTATGGGGAGTTTAAAAATAGTATAATAAGAATACTAGATGGATAAAAAGATTGAAGATGAATTTTGTTATGATCAAATGAAATTTGAATTTAGCAATGATCAAATGGAAAACTTAATGACAATGAAATGTACAGATCCAATACAACATTTTTCCATTTCAGATGTTAGCAAATCACAAAAGCAACATATCCATTTTCACCCCGGTCAAATAAACCAACTTTGTACTCCTTCTTTTTATATAAACCAATCTTGCATATGATTTGATCTTTGTTTCAAATTTTGTTCAACACTTTAAACAGCTTTTTTTTTGTAAATCAAGCAAAAAGAAATTATTCCAGTTGCTCCCTGGAATTATCATTTTCATTTCCACCTTAATTTTTAAAGTCTCATTCAGTTTGTTGTTTGTCTTTTCACAGATGATGAATACCCCCCCCCCCAAGTTTTTTTCAAGTTGTTCTCAGCTATAGTTTGCTACATAACTTTTTCTGTAACAACTTCTTCTGGGAATAGCATAAGCCTAAAAAAATACAACATAGCTGACCTTATCAATTCAAAATCCCAATGCAATTCCTCAAAACTATCTATGCTATTATAAGTTGCTTTTCTTGTATGCCTCCAATACCAAACAAATCTTCTTTCCCATAAAAATACATTTATTCTTTAAAATGAATTACAAAACATTAATTTTCAGAGTCCAGTATTCCAATGTTTTCTGAGCCCTTAATCCATTTAAAACTTTTAAAAAGTGTTATTGGATTTTTATTTTTAAATATACATCAACAACAATACATGAACAGTGCGGTCTCTGGGTATACTTGATTTTGATTCAAACATCATTTATTATTATTATTATTATTATTATTATTATTATTATTATTATTATTATTATTATTATTAACAACAACAACAACAACAACAACAACAACAACCAGTTGATCAGTGGGTGCAGCAAAATTTCACAAACTGACTCTCTACAACACCATGATCGTGTTGCTAAGATCATTCACAGGAAATTGTGCCAAAAGTT